CCCCAAAACCCCAAAACCCCAAAACCCCAAAACCCCATGTTCCGATAAAATTGATTATCAGCCAATAAATTTAATAGATAAAGATAAATTAAGAGTAAAAAAACATTATGTATAATTAGAATTTAATTTTATTCATTTTAATATCTTTAGCGTCTTGTGATTTATCAATGATGGACCTCTGTTGATTATGAAGCAAGCAGATTTCCCAAGATTTATTAATATCAACAGCCAGATTATACTATTTACATTAAATCTACTCATTTGAGATTTAACTTCTTTAAAATGATTTCTTCATTTGATCATATTTAATTATTACTCTTATCCAGCTTATTGCTTCTGTCTTATCGGCTTGAATTAATACTTTCTAAACTCTGATTTCTTAGAGCTTAGTTCAGAGATAAGGGTCCATCAGCTAGGATACCCTTCGAAAGATTCATAATTAAATTCATATCAGCTTCTGCATCCGTCTCCTCTATTAGATTTTCAATTTGCTAGACATTGGGAATTCCTTAATTCTCAGAATCATTGATTTAGTAATTAATCACTCTTGAAGTACTACTATTCATTGGTACGACACTTGCTAAGTTAAGGGGATTTCTTGCCATTATAATGCTAGCAATATTTATATTAGTCCTATCATTATCCATGACCATGCTCAGCCTGTTATTTTCTGAGTTGATTGTGTTTTAGTCTGCATTTAAAATATCTAAATGTTTGTCTTAACCATCTTCATCTTGATTTATTACATGAATTTTATCTGTTTATTCTAGTTCTTTCATAAGGTCATTTTTACAGTAAGGGCAAGTAGGTCTAATAAAGTTGTTTTCCCTTTAGATGTCTTTTATCTGCTTGAGTGCCCATTAAAGCAAACAATCTGAATGAAGAATATGCTAGCACTAAGTTATTCTGACTTAATCTTCTGGCTAGAAATTTTCAAAGCATATAGTACATTGAGTTATTTGGAAAATATTATCCTTAACATTTTTGTACCAAAATAACTAAGCTAGCTGGCAAACTCTGTCAAGTTGGTACTGTCTCTAAATTGAGAGAGGCACAAATGAGCCACTAGGACGTATCTAATTCGTAATCTAGTTTTATCTTTCCTCTTGCATTTCAAGTTCCATTCTTTATCTCCGCATTCTCAGAATTTTCCTTCTAATGAGAAATATAACAACAAGCAGAAGCAAGACTCCAATTACGATGAGAATGACTCCAGCATATGAGGGGATAGCCTAACTCCTATTGGAGGAATCATCTACAAACTAAGGATATATCTTTTGAATAATTACTTTCTTAGTTGAGTCAGTCATTTCATCCAAAAGCATTCTTCTTTATTTAAGCTTTGATAATTCAAAATAATCATTGAAATTATCCTCCTTCTAATATTCTTTATCATTTATTAATTACTGTCTGGAGGAACTAGTTTTATTAGGTCCATTTTCAGCCTATCTTCTTTCAAACAAAACTGATACTACCTAACCTTAATCTAATTTACTGAAGCTGATCATCTAACTTATTTCTTGATCATTAGTAATCTCAAGTGGTTACTTGGATTATCCCTCGAAATCAGGTTATGATATTGAAGGATTATCATCAATTTATTCTAATTTTATCTGAGGATTTTTGTTAATGCTAATTTCTATTATTAGCTTATTTGAATATGTAGAATTATCCAAATTATCTCCTAACTCATTGAATTTTTCTTTCAGCTATATCTCTAACTAGCAATCAATAAGCCATGCTGTGTTCTATTTTTATATACTTTAGATTTGAGTATTTTAAACAATTTCTTTTTGTTTTAGGCAATCATTCATGATAATATCTATCTTATGCTATTCCATACCCATTTATAATTCGTTTTTTGTCAAATTTATTGCGTCTTGTATATTGTCATTTCTATTTACCAGCGACAATGAAGCTGTAAAAGCTATTGATATAATGAGATAAATAATATATGGAATTGACGACATTAAAAATAAGTAAGTTATGATCTCTAATTAAATAAATTTAGATTTATTCTCAACTATGATTTAATCATAATTTTATTGACCGATTACTCAGTTCGGGGTTTTGGGGTTTTGGGGTTTTGGGG